TATTGAGAAAAATTTTTTTAAATTTTTTAAAAATAAGATCGAGAGACTAATTAAAAGTAAAAAAACTATATGCTACTTACAAAAGACATAGAAAATTTGCAGTAAAAGAATGGGGGAAAAAAAGATGTACCATACAAACGCTAACCAAAAGAAAGCTAATATAGCTCTTCAAATATCGAGCAAAGTGGACAATAAGGTGAATTACATAACCAAAAGAAGAAACAGAAAATCCACAATTTTAGTGTGAAGTTTTTTAAAAAAAAATCTCTTTCAGTAACACATTCTAAAAGTTTTGAACATAGTTAACAAATTCGACCTGACAAATAATATGACAGAGCACCTGAGCACCAAGCTAGGTCAGCAGAGAGCTAGGTACCATCACATCTTACCCATCTTCTCCTTCCAGTAATTTAAATTGCTTTTACTGAACACTACATTGTGTATTTGTGTGATGCCTTTGGTCTACACTAAGGGTCACTATGAGAAACTGTTCTAATACAATCATCAATCAATCTATTGTAAGGATGTTATCAATATTAATATCACTGTTTGCTCCAAATCATACATTATTTGTACCAATAGTTACACTTCTCTTGAACACATGGTTTTTTGTTTGTTTATTTGTTTGTTTGTTTGTTTATTATCTTATGATCATTGTGCAATATGTAATAGACCAGGGTTTCCATTTCCTTCTGGCAACTAGAAAGCTTAGAGCCAAATTAAAGGCCTAGCCTCCGAAATAGTGTAAGTATGTTATATATACTTCCAGCATCATTTCTGTTTCCACACTGTCCTCATCCTCATTGTTCTCCCTTATCTTGCCACTCACTTTCAATTCACCCTAACCTGTCATATAGAAGTGTCTAAGTTACTTCAGACAGTACGTGAATGAAGTATAAGACTTTAAAAACCAACTGGTGGGGAAAAAGGCAGACACCCTTAATGACAGTTGGTTACTTCCCTTTGCTCTTCCCAATAAAGACTTTATTTAAGTCTGAGTAAATTCCACAGAAGTAATTCAACTAAAAAAAAAAAAAAAATCAAATTCCATGAAAACCAATAAGGTAACAACTAGGTCACAACAAGCAAATGCCATTTGGATGGGGCCTGATGACCAGAGAATTGGCTAGCTTGACTATCTAAGCAGACTCAAGAGTTCTAGTGACATGTCCACAAGTCCTGGGTTTGGGACTAAACATACTGGGTTCAGGATTCAGGTGCAGACTACTATTTTAGGGATCAATTTTTGGGAAATCTAGTGCCTTATTAGAGCAGCCAAACCATTCTGGGGAAAAGAAGTAAGGGAAAAGAGAGGAAGCAAGATGGCATTATTTTCATATCCTTATACTCCTTTCTCTGGGATACTCTTAAATCGCCCGGGAAGTAGCTAACTACAACACATCCAGGATTAAGTAATTAATTCCAGCCACATTCTACTCTGAAAGTCTCGACTTTCCTATAATCTGCCATCTTGAAATTTAAGTGTTTTTCTTCTTGCTCAGTTGTGGTCAGAGCTAAGGAATAGTAAGTAATTAAGGATAAACTGCTTTAAATAATCCTGAATGTTCACATGTTGGGAAAAAATAACATGCAATATCATCTAACTGGTGGCCCACTGGCTGAGTAGATGGGTATGAGAAGGAAGAAGCACTAGGTAGTAATAGCCAAACTTCACAGGGATCCTTGGACTAAATTTACAAAGCTACAAGTGCCCCAGCTCCTGTTATGCCTTAGAATTGTTAGTGGGTCACAATGCTTATGGAATTAAGTATAAACTCTTCCTCAGGCATTCAAAGCCTCCATTTACTCCAAGAATACCCTATGGCATAAACTTTAACATAAGGCCCTGCCTTTAAAATAGTGTCTATAAATCAGGAAAAACTTATTCTAATTTTATTCATTTCCTCTTCTTCAAATTATCTCTCATCTCTTAAAATGTTTATATCATGTATTCATTTGTCTAATATCAAAACCTTTATCTTTCACAATCTTGATCCTGGACACCTTACAAATCATATACCTTACTGTATACTTAATAGGGCCAAACACCACTCTTTTAATTAGTAATCACCTTTCCTCTTACAAGTCAGAGTGCCACAGGCTTTTGGTCTTCAAAATAATTTTTTTTACAGGTATTATACTTAGTTCTCACCTTTCAAGATAGGAAAATCATAACCTGCCTTCATACAATTTTTACCAACATTCCTAGTTTTTCTTTCAGTATCTCTAAGAAATATGTATAATCTTTCTTTAACAAACAGGCTTTAAAATATTCGAAGCTGAAAACCGTATCATCATAAAGATCCTGGAATATCTGGAAGCTTAGAAAGAGCATGTTGTTTAAGTGACTTTTATAGGGAATCTAATCAAACTAAGACTAGAACCTTTTTTTTTCCTACCAAGATCTCTCTGATATGCCTGTTCTCTGCTCTTAGTCTAATCCTGACTTAACTAGCTGGGCAGCCCCAGACATACCTAGTCATTTCAGGGCACTTGGATAAGGTAGACCAGAATTACTTGGTCATTAAGAAATGACACACACGAAACACGGCAGTAGGGCAAAATCATTATTTTTCACATCCTGGAACACATAAAATAATACTTGACTAGCACACTGGCGTATACTAGAAGGGACTTAAGGTTTATTATGGCTCTTGGTGAAAAAAATAATTGTTACATTTGCTTTATATAAGAAAAAGTATTAGAACATATTAAATAATAAACTTGTATGTATAATCAAAAATTTAATGAGATACTTGAGTGGGCTCAGTTTGGAAAGCAAATCAGACCTGGACAGCCCACAGGAGGTGGGGAGGCAGAGGACTGTGTCTAAGGGGCAGGAACTAGTGGAACTGACTGCATCTGCTGCGCCATCCTGTTGCAAAAAGGTATGTGTTTAGAGGGAGCATCCTTAAATGCCAAATGGCCTGTGTTTGGTCCACAGTTTTATTTCCTTTTCTAAACCTCTAGTACTTCAGCGTTCCCTAGCAACAGAAGCAAAGGATCAATTTAGAAAAGTGCTTTCCAGAGCATTGCTGTCTAGCTACTGACCAAGCCATTTAGTTTATGTGATCAAGCAACGGAAATTCAAGGAGATTTTTCACTGACTCTCCTCAGCAGCAAAACTGGAAGAGCGCCACTTGATGTGTATACTACTAATGTCTGAGATGACTGATTCTACCTCTACTGCGCAAGCATGCACTGGTTTCAGTAAGAATTAGTACTCTCCGCATCTCACTGTGAACGGACAGTGTTGCTAGGGAAACTGATAATTACGTGGCAAAACAGAGGGTGTAGAAGAGAAAAAGGGTTCAGGAGAAATACAAGGTTTTGATCCAAATCAGCATGTTAATAATATAGTTTTTTGATCTTCTGTAGTCATATAATTTAATAAATACCATTAATTATATGTTTGACAAGATACAGATTTCTGAACTGAATGAAATGAACAGAAAGGAACTAGACTCTGGAAAGCTACTGGTTACTGATCATACTTCATGCATGCCACAGCAGGAACACATATTTATCATAAACTACAATTAATTTTAAGAATCAAAATAGTCGAAGACATAAAAAATTTGATTTCTGAAATTTTTCTTTAGAAATCAATCTTACAGAGATGTAAATATTGTAATTCTATAAAAGCTGTAATAAAATTGCTTCCCCCTGCCCCCTCACAGACTATGCCATATAGCCTCAAAACACCCTTTAGGGTGGAGAAAAAAGAAATGTTACTATTTTTATATTATACATAGTAAAACCACCCCCGAGAAGTTGAACAACCTTCCTGAAATCACAGTGCTCTAGTTAACGGTCATGCTGGAGCTAAATGCTCTAATTTAAGGTGCCCAGGAGGTGGTAATTACAGATTATATCTTATTAAGGGAAAACCCCACAAAAAGATATAGACTGAAGTGAATGGTCTCAAATCTCTACATATTGCTTTAATTTCAAATGAAGATTTCCAGTACTTTTAATTTTTAATGGCTAAGAGTTTAGTTCTAAAAGTTATCGATATGATCTAAACACTTGTTTATCAGGACAGACTCCTTGGAGACATTTGAATATGTGAGACTGAACATCAAATAATTAAACGACTTATCAGTAAATAGAGTTTCACTGCGTGTCCAGTCACTGCCTGTGACTTGTCAGCCCTCTCATGACAATGCTGCTGCACAGCATTCTGTTATTTTCTCTTTTTCCAAGAACTACCAGGTAGCTATTTTATTTATTTATTTATCTTTTTTTTTTCTCCCTAGGTAGCTATTTTAAAAGATGAAACCAAAAGTTTTATATCCTGGTGTGTATTTATCATTATAGGTTCTTACACATTTTCTAATTTAAAAATATACTATAGAGGTTAAAGTGTTCATTCACATTCATCTACGAACAATTTACATATGGGTGTGTGTGCGCGTGAGAAAATCAGTGATTTATTTATAGTTGGTATGTGAAAGAAGACAACCATTTATATAAAAAATATTTCCAGCGTTTCTGGTGTTATTTGGTCTTTGACAGGAAAGAACGAAAAGTACATATATGACACCAAGTTTGTAAAAGCACAAAACTTATGTAGAATTGCTTAAGTCAATGAATTCTAAATGTTGGAAGTAGGTAGTCAGCCTTCTGATGTCATAAAAAAGATCTTTAGTGGTTTAAAATTTTTAAGCCTTACTCATTAATACATAAGTAGTATAGCTCACCTTAGATGGAATAAAACTATCACTTTAAGGTATTATATTAAGTCTATCAATATGCAATGGTTTTAAAATAATATTTGGCTTATCTTAAGTTGGAATTTTGTTATTTCTTTACATCAAAACATTTATTTTTGATAAAACAAGTGCTAAATGATACATTTCTATTCTGATAAGCCTTTTCTTCTTTCCCATGGCAGGAAGACTTTTTCAACTTTTAAATTTCCGGTTAAGAAAAAGAAGAATATTACGACTAAATTGTACAGTCATGAAGAGCGATTTTTGTGGTTAGGTTAAACTAACCTTGACTTAGGCCATCTTGACAGGAGGTCTGCTTGACATCCAAGTTCTCCACGCTATCCGCTTTGGAGACTTCACCGAGAGATGTTCTTCTCTCAAAGATGTTGTTGTTATTATTAACCTGGGTCCCGTTTTGCTTCAGTAGCCTGAACACCTCAGCTTCCAAATCTCTAATCTAAGGAAAAATACATCCATTTATAAAACCAGCACTCCTCTCCGAGTACTAGGCAAAACCATCCTATTATTTGGTGGCTTTGAGCACAGAACTCACCCGTACTTGCAGGCCTTGGACTTCCACGACATGAGCTTTTTCCAAATCTTCTATTTTCTTTCTTTCTGCTTCTTGTCTTTTGATGAAATCTAGTTCTCTTAAGAAGTAAATAATAGATCTGATCACATCAAATAGTCAATAAATGAGGCAAGATGTGAAAATTCTTACTGGAAGCGATAAACTTCACTGATAAATAACTGGACCGCTATTTAAATAAATAAAACTCAATCACAGAGAAAAGGTATATAATAATGAAATCAAATAAAACATTTTAATGCATCGCAAAGTAAAGTGCTTTGCTTCTGCTTAATATGATTTTCGTTTATGGCTCCTGATTCTAGAGCACCCATACATAATTAGACAGGAGCTTATGAACTAATGACCCACCTCGGGTAATTTAGTGGTGATAATTACATGTCAGGTAGATATAATTCCACATTTACAAAATAATATATCTAGCAAACTGATGGAACTGGATGGTAAGAGTTTAAAAAATATAATTATAATAAGACTGCTCCCCGTGACTGACAGTGGAAAGGGGTTGGGTGGGCCAGAAAAACTGAGGGAGAACTGTCTCTTATACACCAGAGAATAATATGGAAAGAAAGAGAAATATCTCCATTTTGAGAGCCTGGAATATAATATACGAATTTAGCAAAACTTATCATAAAAGTTTACATGAAATTTAGTTAAATATGATATTTTTGACAAGAAGAGTTAAAATACTAATGTACTGAATTCACGATCACAAAGAACAATCTCCCCCTTTTTAACAATAAACTTTTTATAGCAATCTCTTTTAAATATTACAAATATTATTTCCAGGAAATAACAGAGCTATAATGAACCTTACATATATTCTTAGCTTCTAAGGATTGGCATGGAAGACCAGAGGTACTGGCATTACTTCTTACTGTTTTTGCTAGCCAGAACTAACTGATGAAAAATAGCCAGCCAAGATCTCCCCGGTCAGCTTCCCTGAAATTAGACCAAGATCCAACAGATGGAAGCAAAGCAGCATTATCTCAGAAAGAGCTGCTGAAATTCAAGAGCAGAATGTGGTGATGGTCTCTCTCACTGCGGTGAAGTGCCGGGGCAAGGGGTCTTGCTAGTCAATATTTAGAGTATCTATAGCGGGAAAATTCTGAAGTTACGATTATAACAGAGACAGAAAGAGCCTCAGCAAGGCCCCCACTGCTGCTCTGCATGTACTATGTCCAACAGTCATTCTGCATGAATTCAGTAGGGCTTCTTGCTTCTGAATCACCCAGATGTTTCAAAAAGAATAAAGACTCGAATGTTTTAACAGTTGCTATCAATGATTAACTATCGAAAAAAATTCATGAGGTAACTGGTAACCAAAAAATGGTAAAATAAACACAATATAATCTCCTACAAAAAATGATAGAATGATTTCCAAAACTTAATGCCTATTTTTGCTTTAACTATGCTTTTTAGAGGAATACCTCTTAGGCCATCTTTTCTGTCCCACCAGATATTAGCAAATTACTGAATATAAACCTTCTTTAAACGCACGCAACCATTCTTTAGTTATCAGAAGCCGCTTACTTTTGTTGAAAATCCTTGATCAATTTCTTTGCCTTGTTGTATTTCTTTTCCAAGGCCTGATACTGGCTTTGAGTCTCTTTGAGGTGTTCATTGACTGTGTGGCATAATGTTTGTGCCTCGATCCAGTAGCTCTCCAACTTCAACATTCTTTCTTTATTCTCCTCTATATTCTGTTGGAGTTGGTTTTTTTCTAGTTCCCATCTCACTTTCTCATTTTCTGCTGCTTGCAGCTAGATAAAGAAAATGTCAAGGCAAAGATAATCTGGGTACTTCTGTAGCAAAATTCCCTTATATTTTTATAGCATATTTTGGATTAAATTCAATCGTTACATATACTCAATCACTAAACACCGTGAGATGAGAAGAGTAAGTTATTATTTTCATTATTTCATAGATTATAAAATGGAAGTCTTGAAAAGCGAATTGTTTTGCCCAAGGTCACACACCGGATAAACGATAAAACATGCGTTTGATTCCAACTCCCATGATCTTTCCATCACACTATATGGCATGAAATTCTCTGAGCAGTAAACAACATTTGAGAGTTTGATTCTAACCAATGATTTTCAATATGCTTTCTTTCAGAATTTTTTGTTTTTGTTTTGTTTTGTTCTTTACATATAGTTACATGTAAATAAATTAACTAAAGAGGGAACAGGGAGGCAAACTGGGAAGAAGAGAGGGGCAGAAGCACTGTGTGGCCTTCTAGTTATGAAGGGGACTCTGGAGTCATTCAGTTTAGATTTGAACCCCAGCTCTGCCATTACTGCCTTTCAACTTTAGGCAAGTAACTGAAGTTCTCTAATATCAGTGTAATTGGAACAGCTCTTCGGGCATAATAATATGATAAATGTTAGTTATTTTTACTTTGTTTTTATCCTCTTTGATGATATTATTACATCTTTTATTTCAATCGACATGCATAGTCTGTAGCTCATTATTTTGCTGCACTGTTCTGATCCTTATAAACCCCAATCTGCATAAAATTATAAAGACAGTGTTTAAATAAAAATATAAATTATTGATAAATTAATTTAAATCTCTTCAATAAAACGAAAAGGCAGCTACTTGTGGTTTCTGCTTCTAGAGACTCTTAGGAATAGATAGTATACTAGTCTAACACCCTCATTTCTGCAGAAACTCAAGGCTGATTGAGCCTTTAGGCGATGGGTCAAAGGTCATTATTCAGACTAAGTGTCTGATCTTTAAATTAGTGCTTCATCTATTTCACATGCCCCCTTTAAAGTTCTGAAGGATGCAGTCATTATAAGCTATCAATTTTCAAAATCTAAGATATTCCAAAATCACAGAGCATTCAGCAAATGAAAAAAATTGTATATATGTTTTACGTATATTTTAAACTAAATACATTTGCAAAACAGATTGCAAAGTAAAAAAGTAGTCAAAAACATTTCAAAATTAATAATTCTGTTATCACTATGGATATAGAGTCATAGCAAAGTAAGCTATTCTATGTATATTATCTGCTACAACAAAAATGAGAAAAATATAAAATATTAATTTCTAGAATTAAATGTTTAGTCTAAAACATAAGCTTTGTTAAAGCACTTACAATCAAATGGGAATCTTTTTCCCTGATTGTAACCAACAATTTTTAAAAGTCTTCGATTCTTCCATTCTATGTCAAAGAACAAAAGCAATTTTAAACAGGACTGGTTTGGACTGGTTTTTACTGCATCTTTTATTAAGCAGTGTTCTGTGCTCGAAGTTCTTTATTTACCAACCACTACTAATTTAAAAATTATTATTCACAGAGCTTGGCTGACACCATGAATGATGTATAGACATGTTTTGACTAAAGAGCTACAGAGTTATTAGCTGGGAATACCATTTAACCAAAATAGCCTTGCTAATTCATCTCCATTTAAAACACATGGAAAAAGCAAAACAAATGTTCAATGTGAACAGGAAAACAGATCGTAGTGGTGGAGGAGGGATTATGTCTTCATTTTTAAAAGATCACAAAAACAATAAAGAATATTGTTTTAAAAGTTATTCAAAAGACCTTTTTAAATCTCTGAAATTACATATTTGATAAAACTAGACACAATTCTAGGAATTTACAAGTACCTTACAATTTGTCAAATAAAAATGCCCTTTGAATCTTGCCTTATATTATATATGAACTAAAAATATACACACCCTTTCATCATGACCTATTTTTTTCCACAAATTTCAATCATGTGAACTAAACAACTAAGAATTTCCAATAGCATCTGGTACCTAAGAGCAATTATTCGCATATCATATTAAATTTTACAGCTTTTAATTATTAGAAATTGGAAATATTTTCTATAAAAATAATGTTCTATGTTAGAATACAGTTCCTGATGAATAAGGTAAAAATAAATGATTAAACCCATTTGAAATAAGATAAACAAAGAGAAAGAGATACAGTATAGTAGCTTGTGCTTAAGGAATTAGTGGTCAAAACATAATTTGGATGCCTGAACCATTGAATATGTTTACTTTTTGAGGAAAACTCAGAGGGAACCGCATATGTATAAATACGTATTTTTAAAATACTGTGCTATTTTCCCTTAGGGGTATGGTGGTGCTTACCTCCCAGGGGTACATGCTCTCACTAGCAGGTTTCTCCATGCATCTAACAGTGGAAATGAATCTCTCACATCTGTATTCTTTTAAATGCACGGGAACAAATCTTTTAGTCTTAGGGTTGAATTTATTCATAGCATCCGAAGCTTAAAAAGGACAATTTCAAACACCATATATTGATTGGTGCTTACCTTGGTCTTCAGTTTTTGAATCTCTGCTTCTGTAACTGCATGTTTGATTTGCAACTGAAAATTGAAAAGAAAAAAAAATCCGAACTATGAAAGTGTATCTATATTTTTAAAGCCTCAGCAACTAGAATAATATCATATTATTCTTATAGCAGAAGGCCTAGAAAAGTGCTGCAATGCAGCAGGTTGTAAATTAAAATGTCTAGGGTGTACAATGACTCACTAGGTGTAAACTGATTAAACACAGGGTTTGTGGCCCACACTCCCTAACATCAGATTAGGTTATAAATTTAATTGCTCGGGGACCAAAGAGAAGAAAACACATTTCCTTGCCCCCTTTGCCGCTCTTTTCCTTTATGATCTGAGAGTCAAGGAATTGTTTCCTTGCAGTCTTGCGGAATGAGCAGCTTAAGCAGGCAAGTCGGCCAGTGGCAGTGTGAAGATTCGATTCCAAACCTGGAAGGAAGGTGGCGCTATCGAACCGTGAGTCACGCACACGCTACGCTGAGCAGCTCTTTACAGCTCAGGCTGCTGCAAAGGGAGACAAGGATGATGCAGTTCCACAGCGAAATCTGTGTTTATTTTATTTTTAATTGCAGGAGAGGTAAAGATCGACATTTCTGTCCTCCAAAATATCTACTCCTATTGAGGACCTTGACCCCAAAAAGCTTCAGCTACAATTTATTAGCATGAGAACCCCCATTTATATTTACTTTGCATCTCCCCTCCCCGCCACTTTGGTTTTTTTTGTTGTTTTTTTTCGTTTGTTTTTTTCTGTAAAGGAAGAAGGACAAAATATTCATTTCCTTAAGGGATGAAAAAATACACCAACATTTACAGAAAACAATTTATGGCTTGACAATCTCTTCTCTGAAATCCTCAGGGCCAGATGTTTTTGGAATTGAGAATTCTTCCAATTTCAGAAAGGTAGTAAGATGCATTTTTCATAAATCGAATATACCCACAGCAGGGCCTGTGGAGACAGTTTGTAATCAAACACATGAATATTTCTGCCACCAAACATATGACTACTCCCACTAAGTGAGGTATATAAAGACTGTAAATAGCATCTATCAGTTTTGGTTAGGTTTACTCCCAAATGAGTTTGCCACAAAATTACTTTAAAAATCTGTTTTCAGACCATTTTGAATTTTGAATTATACAAGAGGGACTGTGAACTTCTAATATTACTGTAATCAAATAAGTCTAAGGTCTTATCAGAAAAAAGGTGAGTCAGCTGACAGAAGGATAGAGACAGGAACCTTTGGCGATTACAAAACCTCAGAAGCCTCGGCTCTCACTTTGGTTGGCAACCTGCATTTCCTTGGTTTTTACCTGGCTAGGAGGGGCATGTAGGAAGGGTGAAGAGGGAAAGAAGTCAGAATCAAGGACAGGTTTATTCAACACCCTTAGATGCTGATGAATAAAAGCCCAGAACATGAGAGCTCCCGAGCTTCTTGCAAAATGCTCCCTCCTTGATGCTTTCAGGGCTCCTGTTGTGTTTAAGGTCCTGTGGTCTACACGGCTACAGCTCTGCTGCTGCTCGCCGTCCTGAGGGGTGATCTTGAAACTGTTTTATATTTGATTCTGCCCCATTCAAATCACTTTTCTTCCTTTCCCACTTTCAGATCTAGTCACTCCTGCAGTCTCGCTGACGTGACTCTTGCTCCCTTCACCCTCACTGGTTCCCAGGGGCCTCTGTGCTCCAACAGTCTCTAGAGAGGAAGCATCCTAGTCTGAATGAATCTTTTGGGACCCGACAATGCCAGGCAACCCAACCTGACATGCCCAAGTGTGGGCCCCACACTCAACACACGACTGCAGAATCACAAATCCTTACACTTCTGGACTTGGAAAACCAGGGCTCATAGCTGAAAACTGACCTGGTCGAGTTCTCACAGTGAACTGCTGTTAAAACCAGGACTTAGAACCTGGATCTTTTGGTTTCTGATCCAGTGCCATTTTCCTTAGAAAATAAAGACTAATTCAATAGGTATTCATTAAAGAGCTGCTATGTGCACAATGCTGTGAAGATAACTCTTTCTTCTTCTAATAAATCTTAGTGATAGTCTACCCCACCAGTATAAACTAAAAAAATGAAAAACGGCAAAAGTACTTAGATGTTAGACATGATACATTATTTATATATAAAAGAAATATATGCATACATGCACGCACGCACACACACGCACACACACACACAACTATAAGGAATTATTTTCCATGGAGATCTTGCACTTCGGTGGGAACACACTTGAACACCCAGCAAATCCCTGTGTCTAGGTGAGTTCAAAGTATTTGAAATTGTTGACAAGAAGATCCACTCCTTGTTCCTTCTACCATGTGTCCAGTGTGAAGAGCAGAGCAGGTCCTCAAATAATGTCCATTTCATTCAACATCGTTCCATTATAATGATGAAATGCCCTAGGAACTTAAATCGTGGGTATAACAATTAGCCTGTTGTAAAATTGTTTCGTTAATCATTTCACCATAGTTCCAAGGACCTACCGAGGACGTTAAATGAGGACTTAACTGTAGTTAAGTTGGACTGCTCGAATTCATCTCAGGTCTATCATGTACTAGCTATATGATTTTGGAGAATTACTGAAGTTCTCTTACCTTCATTTTCCTCACCTGTAAAATACAATTCCTCATGGGTTATATAACCTGCCTTATCGTAAGATTAAATGAGATATCCTATGAAAAGCCTGTAGCATAGTGGCTCGCATAGAATCAGCCCTCTATAAAGTTAGCCGAGGTTAAGAAAGAATGATCAGAACTCAAATATGATTACCCCAACTTTACTTCTTAGTTAAAGGTGCTAAATGCTGTAAAATGTCACATCTGAAATAAACTGAATACCTCTGGTTCTATTTGAAGAGTTGCAAGAAATCAAAAGAGAAGTTTTTATGAGGAATGCTGCACTTATGCCAAAGTGCCGGATTTTATTTTCTCAGTGCTTAACTCCCTGTAGAGTAACGAAGTATACAGCAGGCAACTTGTTGAGATTGGATTTTCTTTGCTTAATCGCTGTGGCCTCTAGCAAGCTGCTTCTCTGGGCCCATATGAAAAATGAGAGGGCTAGATGGGACGAAGCCAAGGTCCTTGCCAGTACTATAGGTGTGTCGTTTATGAAATGAAGAGTCTACAGATGGTTATCATGGTTACAGAGTGTAGAAATTCTTGCCCCAAGCCAGCATTTTCATTCCTATGAATGCATTCACTAGATTAATTCACTGATGTGTGGGACAAACCCAGGTAAAACTATGCAACAGCCAAATTGGTCTTCGGTTATCCCACCCTCACCGAAATGGGTAACAGAAGAGAGCTGAACTCAGCAGTGTGGGGAGAACACTGATAAAAGCCTGGCATGTCACTAAGCACAGTGAAATTCTTTAGACACAGGGAAGCAGAATAAAGTGTGTAAATTCAGACATGATTCAAAAGGTGGACAAAAGTTTTAGTGCAAAGTTTTCTTAGTACTCATAAGGCCTTAAATTACAGATGTTATTTTAATCCTGTATGCACATTATAAGAATTTCTACAAATCCATCACTATTAACAGAAAAAGCATCAAAAATAAACGAATCAAACTCTTTTCATTCTGAAGAGGAAAACACTGTTTTAGTAGATTAAGTTGCAGAGCTAACAAGCTTCAAAGCCGGGTTTTACAAATTTCAGCCCACGGTTCTTCCCATTAATACTAAATTCCTTACATTTGTAGGACCCTTTATCTTTTTTATCACCTCTTTTATCACTGCAAGCGAATCTGTGAGGGGAGCAGGACATTCAGTGTTAACCTCACTGGCCACATGGAGAAAGAGGCTCAGAAGTTACGTGGCTTCTTCCGGTTCCAGGTGGTGGTCTGGAAATTATCCCAGGTCTGACTCCCTCTATCTGTTTCTCCCTTCACCATGAATCTAATCTGAACCAGCTCTGGGATACATTTTTCATTTAAACCTCACAAAAACCCTGGGGCATGTGTCACCACTGTGGCACCCAGAAGAGAAAGTATCAGTCTGGCTAGAAACCATGGATCGCTTCTGGCAGTCTCTGGGATTCTGATGCCAAATACAAAGTGTTGCTCAATCGGCTGCTGTTATTATTTGCGGAGTTTAGGAAAAAACACATCAATCATTATTCATCCAGCATTTACTGAATGACAGTATGTGCCAGGTGCTATGCTAGTCAGTCACTGAGGATACAAGAATGTGACACAGAGCCTACCTTCAAAACACTTACTACAGGGAGATTAAGAAATACCACCTCCCAAGAGAAGTTCCCAGATCACCCTGAGAGAAACATCAGAGAGAACCCGCTCCCAGACGGCCTGACTAGTCACCTATTCCTATATCCAGGTCACATGACCTTTGGCTTCGGCCTACGTATCATGTCTCCCAACTGTGGACCGCTCCATCCAGGCTAAGGGGGCCTGACGGGGCTGAGATACCTCCATTTCACGAGGAAGAGAAAACTGCTTTCCAAAGAGTTGAGGCGACTTGACAAGAGAAATACATCTGGTAAAAGGTTAAGTTTTCTTATTCTAGAGCAGTTCTCCTTCCACATGTTCAATAACCTTTCCAAAGTTCAGGTGCAACAGTTCGCACATCACCCCAAGACTGGTCATGCTGAGTGACTACGGGGAGAGCAGGTCAACAAGACTAGTTAATGGAAACAGAGCCTGAAATACCTGTTGGAACTTTGGGGCTTCAGAGAATCTAGGACTGGAGAAAAGAATTTGGATGGGAGGATATAAATAAAATCGCAGGTCACTGTGTTCAACTTAGAAGACTGATTTTTTTCATCTCTTCTGTCATCGTTAACATAAATGCCATGGAGATCCGCCCCAGGACTACAGTACAAATAAACATACGCATTCCTACAGAGAATAGTAGCTCTCACATAACATTCTGCAGGTGAACCTGCTGAGAATATTTTCTATTTATTACTTTCAAAAAGATGAATATAGAACATGTGCTCGTATCACTGACTCAATATAATCCAAATGTAACTGCACTAGAAATAGAAACATCCTTATACAGAAAATAAATAGTAAG